TAATCCCTCTCAAGGTTTGGAACATCAACATTTCCCTTCATTTTGGGACCTTTCACACTCATATCCAAATCTTTCAGTTTAGTTCCCGACAATGATGGAGGTTCTATTTTTGATCCTTTGAGATTCTCATCAAGGTCTTCTGTGTCCACTTGCGGTCCTGTAATATCAAAATCAGGTGCTTTAACATCAATACCAGTCCTGGGAAGGTTTATCTCTAGACCTTTGACATCAATCTCGTGTGTTTTTATCTCCCCTTTTATCCCTGCTTTATTTTCAACTTTAGGTATTTTGGTGTCAGTTTTGGATTTGGAAAGTTTTAGATCAACATCTAGACGCTCTGCTTTTGGAACTCCAAATTCTGCAGCAGGCACTGTGACATTTACTTGTGTTCTTTTAATATCAACACTGGGTCCTTTAATTTTTACATCCTTACTGTCAATAGAAGGTTTTATTGCTTTAATGTCAGCTTCAGGAATTTGTACATGAGCGTTTGTTCCCTCTTTCCTCTCAGTGTCTGTATTTGAACCTTTAATGTCAAATTTCAGTCCTGCTGTTTTTCTCTCACCAGTTAAATCACCTTTTCCCTCAACCTTATTCAGCCCAGATATGGATGGAACATTAACATCCATTTTGTATTTGCTATCAGTTGTTGGGAGTTTGATTTGAATATTAGAGTTGATTTCAGCACTTCCGATGTCACTTTCAGACTCTGAATGTCTTACACTCAAAACTGACCCTTCAGTGTTGGCTCTGGGGCCCTTGATCTGAACACCGGCTCCTTTGATGTCCAGTTCAGATTTTTTTGAAGAAAGTCCCGAGGTAACATTATCTAATGTTATTGTTGATTTTTCTATCCTGCCATCTTTCAAATTTGCACTAGTATCTGTCGACCCTCCTATTCTGATATGTGGAATGTCAGTACTACCTGATCCTTTCGTCTGCAGGGGACTGATTGTAATTCCAGATATCTTAACTTTTGTCCTCTCATCTAAAGTACTGTCTGAACTTCCCATCTGTGTTTTCTCTGTGGTTGCAGTCAAAATTTTCATTCCTTTTCCTGGTAAAGACAGTCTACCCGACCCTCCGTTTTCGTCAGTTGAAATTATCCCAGCACCCCCTGACCCAGCTGTAACATGGCTGCCGGCAGTGTTTTTGTTGTCTCTTAGTGTCACAGTCATTTCTGAATCCTGAACACTTTCATCTCCTTGCTCGCTACTCCCTCTTGAAGTTTCAGTGCCTTCATGGCATTTACTACCTGTTACTCCAAAGCTAGGAACCTTAAATCTAAGATCACTTCTTTCTTTTTCCTCTCCTATATGCGTTGTAGTTTGAACCCCACCATTGCCCCAGCGTGTCACAGTGGAAGTGATATTTGGCCCAGTGTAAGTTATGTCGCCTGACTCAAAAACACCTTCTTCTGCTCCCATTTTACCTGAAGGGCTGCCATGTGAGATTCTGATATGAGAAGATCCATCTCCAGATTCGTGCCTTAGCCCTTTGACGTCTGGGCTTGAAAGTTCAAGTTGCTCACTTATGCCACTTGGCATATCTACTGTGTAAGTAGTGATACGACGAGTGATGGTAGTAATTGTGCTGCCATCGCTGCTTGTGCTGCTGTGCCGCTCCGTGCGAACATCCACTCCCTCTGCAAGGTCTTCAGATTTCAGCCTTGGTTTTATCTTTCTTGTGTATATTCGCTTATAATCTTCATCATCCCCACTCTGTTGATTGAATGACACAAACATGCAAGTGTTACAGCACACCCTGTTTTAGTCCACTAGCTTTCCTGCAGACATATGAGTGATAATGTAGTTGGTTTTTCTTTCGTTTGTTTGGGGGGCTTTTTCCCCTTTTTTGTTTTTTAAAAAGAACTTACAAGAATGATATCTGGACTGGAATCTCCAAAGCGGGTCTTTCCTTCCCATGTAAGGGTGCTGACTGGTGAACGACATGGTGTGCTCAGCGGTGAGTAGTAAGGGGATTTGTCTCCTTTGTTTTGTAGTTTCAGTCCAACCTTGTGTTTGTTCAGTGTCTTTAGTAGCTCTGCTGTTTCTTCAGAACTCATATTTTCAAAGTAGATAGTGGCACCCACAATTTGGTCACCTATGATTTAAGTGGAAGCAGCACAAAAAAACAAAAGCGCAAAAGTCAGCGTGCACATCTTACTAAACATTTGGTGAAAGCTACATATTTGAACAAAAACTGAATTTGTTACGTTCATATAGTTTTCCAGCCCGTGCTGCTGGTGACTCTCTTTCACCTCCTTAACAAAGCTGTCCTCCACTTGGTCTGTTCAATGGTCATGCAGTTTTGTCAGCACCTGTCCCAATGCTGGAAAGAGTAACGCTCCCTTGTCTCCTCTTGCGTCAGCCATGGCTGTAAACATAGGCCATAAAATAGCAGGGTTCAACTAGAGAGATAAAAATCATAGTTTAGTTGGCAAAATACTGCTTTACAGCATAAATATGGAATAGCTAGTCTTAATACCTTAAATTCCTAGAAATACTCTTGTTTTTGTTTTTTCTTTCAACTGTCCGAGCCTCGTTGTTAGGCGAGACAAATTCTCTTTGTTTTCCTGCAAAAACAAAAGACAGACTTTGAACAAATTCTATCCACATCCCACTTTGTAAGGAGCCTGGGTTAAAAGACCCAAAAGTGAACACTAGATGGTGTTAAAACTCCTTCAGACAATATAGCCTATCTAACTATAAGTGCCTTCCCTTCCCTCCAGGATGCACTACGTTTTGGAAACTTGGTTGAAGTCAGACCACTCCCTGCCCTGAGGAAACAGCCAAATCCCCTGCGTACAGATCAACTCAAACATCAATAGAAACAAAAGTGAGGGTCACAGGTACTTTATTTAAAGAAAAAAACCAAAAACACACCAAGGTGGAGAAATGTATGGTAACAAATAAATCACCTAAAAGAGTTACTACTCTAATACAGATGTACAACCACAAACACTAATCTAATAGGAAAACAGTTGCACCCTTGTATAGGATCCCACATTAAGCTTGTAGTTCTGTTCAATAACAAGAGCTATGAATTCCTTTTCAGCAATTAACCGTAGATTTGTTATTAATTTTTTTATCACTACAGCTGAAAGTTTTTACAAAGCTGATGACAATGATCTACCTCATTACGCTGTAGTAGCACACATTAGGTTGGGTGAGGCCATCAGAGTACATAAGGTATACATTATACCTTCAAATAATTACCAAATTTACCATATTTATATCACTTTAAATTAGGCCAACTGAAATTCATGCTTAGCTTTTCAACAACTGTCACTATCGCTGTTTGCAATGTAAAAAGATCATCACATCAATGATAAAGTTTGTTGACAACATTACTAGGCATGTGTCCACAAACATGCTGACTGGTAATACCCACTCTCCTTTTTGGAACACAGAACCTATTGTTTTGTTAGTACCAAGCTCTCCACCACCCACTCCTCGAAATATACAAAGCTGTTCCACGATGATGTGTCTCTACCAATAGAAAGGGATTTTTATGTTGTTGTTTGTTTTTTTTAAATTCGAGAGAATGTAATGTGATTGGTGACAACACTATTGGAAGTACTTTTTGATTAATGATGTTGCACCACAAGACAGTAGCAAAGCTCTAGTACCACAGTCATTTCAGTGAGACAATCACTACAAATGCCTACTGTAACCATTCAGGAGGATTTAACAAAGGTTCTATCGGCCAACAGAAAATGGCAAAAGCCTATTCATAGTTGTGATGAATGAAACAGGATATGAGTCACTTTGGTGATTAGTTTCCTATGTTTATTGTGATTATGATAAAAAACAAAGATTTAAGGAATAATAACTTGGAAAAAAAATAAGACCGATAATCTTGTCTGACCTTACAAATATATGTATTTTAATGTTAATGTCAATGTGCTAGAAATAATAATATTAGCAGAAAAATTAATATAATTTTACACCACAGTCAAGAACACAGTTACCACATAGGCCACGAATCCCTTCCTCATTCACTGATACTGCCTCTCTGTTATGCAAGATAACAAGTTGCTGGAAACAAGAGGAACCTGAGACGAAGCTAAAGAAGCAACAGTTTTAAGAGGTTTTGTAATATGCATCACTTATTCAGCAGCCATATGCCACTCCCGCCATGCAGCTAAAATGCAGTGTTTCAAACAAATGAGATCGTTAGAAGAAAACAGTTCTGGTGTTTCCTGCAATGTCCAAATTAAGACTGCAGATCTAGGTGGTGCATACAGTTCTGTGTGATATGAACTATTGTCTCAGTTATTTGTAGTCTGTTGATGCCAGTCCTAGGTCACATAACAAGCCCTCTGCAAATTAACACAAGTCAATAAATAGACTGGATCTGCATGGTTGGGAATACTGAAGAAAGCATGCAATGCTTTGAGGTAAAATTAAAATTCTTTGAAAAAATAGCATTTAGCCACTGAGCATGATTATGCCGGAGAATAGGATAATGCTCATTCCAAAGGTGATTCCAGCCGCTTGCAGGTATATAAAACCTGATCTTCACTTTGTTGCTTCATCTGTCCTCCTCCCTTCTTTCTATCACATTGTGCTTTTCCGCATGGCCTCATAGTACCTTGAAACACGAATCTATCAAGACCTCAAGCTGCAACATTATATGCATCAGTTATAGTTGAAATGTGTGAAAACTGAAGGGGTAAAAAAAAACAGTACCAAAAAACACAGCTTTATTTAATTATCTTGGGTAGAGCAAATTCAAATCAGGCCAACTGATGCAGCCATTTACAAAATCTTTAAAGTGTCCTTCAGATCCCACACTCACAGCATTTGGGAGAAATCAAAGGGAATTTGTCTTCCCCATGGGCTCGAACACAGCTCATTTTGCCCGAATATATCCTGTCCTAATCCAGTCAATAAAAACAGACCCAAATAACTGACAAACCTTTCACATGATCTTGTTTTTCTCTTTTGCTAGTCTTATTGGCATTGTACAGATTACTGCTAGATGAGATAATTGTCCAGAAAAAATGTTCACAGGGAAAAGCATAAGAAATATTATTGGGTTTATAAAAACAGAGTGAGAAGTTAAGAATGCATCCACATTCATACGCATAATCGTGGGACACAACTATCCCTTTATCCCTCAAAGGTTTATTTTCAAGCATAATCATATAGTTTTGATAAATATTTTGATTTTGGCCTAGCACACAGGCTTACCATGTTTGAACTATTTGGGCCATTGTGTCCTAAACGTTCTGACATATTTCTGGCAGCAAGCTGTGGGGGGAAGCTGAGGCACGCAACAGAAATCAAGGGGGAATTTGAAACACACAGAAAGAGATATAAGGAAAAGAGGATGTTAAAAAAAATTAAAGTGAGACAATTAAAAAGGGGGGGGGGGTTGTAGTCAAGCTATGCAGCTAGAAACTCTAAAGAAAGAAAGGGATATCCAACAAACTGAAAAAGTTGGGTTTTCTCCTCAGAAGCTGAACAATCCAGAATATCCATAAGAGATTGCAAAAAGTCCACCCTCCTTTTACTTCATTACTCACTATCACATAGTATATAATTTCTGCTGTACTTTAAAGAAAACTTAGAAAAAGTAGTGATAATTAAGTATGAAAACTAATTAGGAAAATGAACAATAACCCAAAAAAGACCTATCCATATATAAAATAAAACAGCTTCGCAGTATATGCCAAATGAATGAGCCCTTGTTCTTGAAATCATAGCAAATGGTCTGGGACTCCAGGAGTTGACAGTACATGACAGTCATTCAGCTCTGTATTCTTTCTCTTTCATTTCTATAACGTGCCTGAGTACCGCTGATCCAATGCCAAATACGAAGGTAGATCAACGGGCTTGTCTGTCATGTTTTATTATGGCTTGGTATGTCTGTCCAGAAGGGGATATGAGCAGCCAGCCAGACAAACAAAAGCTTCTGTTACCTCGAATGCAACCACAGAGCATTTCTGGATATGGATCATTTATACAGTATCATTGGCCTACAGATTTAACACTAATCAGTCAAAGTACTGCTAGTTTTTCCCTAAACACAAAAGAAGTAAATTATCTTTGGCGGGCTCTTGACATGGTCGTTTCTCAAGAAGGGAAAAGGGACTTGAGTGAAGCAGGTGGTCACTTTGGGAGGAGGGACGGGATACCAAAAGGAGACACATGGAGCAGAAGCACCCAGGTATCAGGTTTCCACAAGGCAGGCCTTTCACAGCTGAATGACGGCGGCATGACCTTCCAGTTACGTTGGAGGCTTTGCAGCAAACATTCCAAAAGTGGTTTGCAGTCTGACCATAAAATAGATGCTGCTCTGTGGTAACACTGACTAGTTAGTGTTTGAGCAAAGTGATGGTAGTAAGAAAATTGATTTTCTTTTTCTCTCCTTTTTTTATGTAGTCTATCATAGATTTTCTTTGTATCGTTTCCAATATACTTAAGGGCACTCACTTACCTTGGATTGCTCAAGCAAAGCCAAGGAGCTTCAGTTTATTGCTTCTGTTCTTGTATTCTTGACTTCTGTTGAGAAAAAAAACACAATTAGTATGATTTGTACACAGATTAAGTATTGCTAAGACAGCAAAGAAACCTTTGCTGCTCTCTTTTGCAATAACATTCCATGTTGCTATATAAAGTTGAGTTTCAGTCACATGCTTGACAGATGACAAAAAGCTATGCATGTCTTTTCCACATAGAAGTCCCTGCTATGTTACGAGGTGCATCTCCATATGAATGATAAAGTCAAATGCTGTGGTAGGATTCAGTATTAAGTGATGAAATTTAGCTGTGCTATAGAATGTTAGCCTACACATTAAGAGATGGGAAAAGCAGAACTGAAAAAGTGGGGATTCACTTTAGAAGCTTACAAGCTTACCATACTTATGCATAAGAAAATATTTACAAAAAAGCCCCTGCACTTTTTACTTTCATGACTAGACTTAATCACAGGTATTCATTCCTTTACTTCTTTTTAGATACGTTTATAAAGTAGTCTAATGTAGTAGACTACTGATGCTGATCAATCATCACCTTAAGAGGCTTTAATAATTAACCAACAAGTAGCTGGAAGCAGTGTTGACACTGGTAAGGAAATATGTCTTTTTAAATAAATTTAACCACTTGTTTGTTTCCAAACTAGCCAAACTACAACAAGTAGGTTTGCTAGAAATTGATTAAAAATGAAGCAAATTTGGCTATAGAGGAATTCAGAGAGGAAGTATACCATTAAAAATGCTAATGCATTGATCTGCCTTAGTTTCACTGCTTCATGGAGGACTGTAAAAATATCAAACCACAACAGAAAGGCAGAAATGCGAAGCAATAATAGCAAATATAGCAGCAAAGTTTGTTGCCTAAATTGAATCTATCATTTAAATTCTGAGCATCATTCTTTACACTAAGTCAGTCTTGTGTTTGTGAAAATCAAGGCAAAGCTGAAAATGTGAGACACGTGCTGTAACTAGCCCAACATCTTACAGGTCTTATGCCAATTATTGTGTTATTGTGAAACAAAGCCCTCTTTTTGTCAGTCTCAGTACAAACAGACCCAGACTTGATGTGCGCAGAGACATGCAGCACCAGTGGGAACATGCCCTTCAGGAAAATTCTTCTTCAACCCCATCATTAACTTCCCCCTTCCCAACATTTTATGTTCAATAACCTAAACTGCTCATTACTATATTTGTGAGATGGAACAGTCGGATTTTAATACCTGTGCAATGTAACAAAGCCCCTAACAGTGATTCAAAGTTTAAAAAACGTAGTAAAGTTTGGCCTGCTTTCTGTTGCACCAATAGAATACATAGCTGAGATAAAATACCAGCCAGTAATGGGTTCGCATTACATGTGTGAAGTGAGACTTGCACCACAGCAGCTGTGTATACTCATGCCCCTGTTACTGATTCAGACTGTTATGTCACAGAATACAACAAGGTAGACTAAAGAAAATGTGACACTGTGTTTGCCTTAGTGATAAAGTTGTTATATGTGTAAGCTTTTAGGTGTTGTGCTACAACGTCATGATAGAAAATGACGAAATAGGCATATCGGATTTAACAAAATCAAAATATATGAGACAGTTTGCCCCACCCTCTTTACTCAGTGTCTTGGTAAGACCACACACACATAGCACATCTGCAGGTATTTCTGGAAGATAAAATGTGGTCAACAAACAGTGAAGGAAGCAAATAAAAACACACAGTGCCCAGAAGTACCATACCACAGTCCACGACACAGATCGTGTCGCTTTGCCTCTCGGCTTTACTTGCAGAGGGAGTAGCACAGTGCACAGCCCCACCCAGGCCTCCAGTCACACACATTCCTTGATAGAGCCCTCAGGCCAGCTGGAAGAAAGCCCAACCTCTCCTACAGTGACTAACTCCAAAGAAATGTCCTCCTTCTGACACTAACTCTAGCTTTATTTTGTGCTGCCCACCCCGCACACAGCTGGAGTGCCCACCCACCTGCAATGAGTCCACCACACACCCCCAACCTCCAGGTTCCACTCAAACAAGCAAAAATGCAACGTTAAGTCAGCAGTGCATCTGTGATGGCACCCTAAGACGTGTGTCAAATGTGCATTGAGAGGTTACATTTGTGTCTTTTGGCTTAACATGCGCTTCACTGACGCAGTAAACAGCAGCCAGCTCATCACCCCATCACTTAAAAAGAGACATACCTCCAAACCTGGACTGTTAACTTTCATACTTTGTGCTAAAGTAGGTCAATACATTCTGGAAACTGATCAAAGCAGCTTTAGTCCGTCTACCAATTTGATTGCCAAATCCAATCAATTTAGTAATGAGAAAAGAGGAGCAATGTGACAATAATTAAGGCTCAATTTCAGAGTGCTATCACACAGAGTACTCTATAAAAATTTGATATAGCAGCATTAAAAAAACCTCAGCACAGCAAGCAGAACGAAGCAAAGACAGTACAAACTCTGAATCAGTCTTGTGTCAAAACAACAGACTCTCATTCCCCCCCTGCTGCATTGTTATTTTAACACACAAAAGCAGAAATACCAAATAAGAACAGCGATATCTGCCTTCAATTCACTCACAAAAGCAATAGGACGTTGCACGGACTGGTATAAATAAGATACGAGAGTCCAGAAGAATAATGGTTGTTTCTCCACTCCAGTCCACATAGCCCTGAAGCAAACCACAAGTCCAACATAAGACTAAAGCCTGCCCACTGACGCTAACTTGGCCTGCTTCTGATTAAGCCATTGTGACTTTGGCAGGAGTCATGCACCAAATGGAAAAATTGAAGAAACTCTTAAAATCCTCCTCTCTTGCTCTTAAAAAATCAGAAATGAGGGGTTGCATTTGAAGCATACTTCAGCTTTGCCTTGATTTTCACATACGTTTTAAGCTCTGCACAGTTCTGTCATAACTGCTTGTTCTCTATTACACACCAAGACATTTAAGACCTCAGTTTTAATTTCCTCTCTCGAGGGTTCTTACAGGTTTTTTTTAGAGATCCTGTTCCTTTGCATTCCTATTTTTTGCATTCCTATTATTACACCAAGAACTGCCTTTGAGATTGTATATGTAACACTGTGCTATAGACAAAAAACTTGATTTGATTTGGAAAAAAAAAAAAGCTTTTTAAAACTATTTTTTAAGATCTGTTCTGCTATTAAATGAGAAGTGATCCTGGGCTGATGCCCAACAATAGTTTCAGTGGCATGACTATCAAGCAGCTAGGATGTAAATTTTGAACTGGCATAACAAGTTAGACCAAAGATAAGCGCCAAGTTTGAACAGATCAGCCATATAAAAAGAACATCACAAGAGGCTTACTGACACATTAAACAGGTCACGCCAAAAAATTGCCACGCTTAGTTTAACATGGCAATATATTCAGCTGCTGCTTGAATGAGAACAAATACAAGTCCATTAACGGAACAGGGGACAAGGTTATGAGTAGGAGTTAGGTGGCAACCATAGCAGCAGAATGTATATATAGATGTGAGACTTCCTTTGCTGTAAGAACCTGAAGCATAAACAGAGCATCAGGATTGTACTTTCAATTCACACTTCTATTTAGACCACACGAGAGTTCCATCCTCGAATATCTTGTGCCAGATAAAGAAAAACCATGTTGAATGTATTTCTCAGTTTACATTCCAAGCATGGTTGCCCTGACATTTAGGGCATGTATCTCCAAGTAGTGCTTAGTAACAGATGGCTTTTATATTTTATATACGGAAGTTTGGAGGATACTGTCTCAGCCACAGTTATTTATCAGACAGAAATGATTCACGCCCTTTTTGAGCTCCATGCTTGGGAAGGTCCCACATTGCTAAAATCTGCAGTGAAATGGTCTGAATTGCATGCAGGTGCGTGGTTGCCACAGAATTATTTGTGACTTATTGTGACTATTTCATCGCAAATTTAAAATAACTGTTTCTCAAAAACAAGGCAAGCTAATGATAGGCGCTCCACAGAGAATACTGAGTACACACTGAAACATTCCAGCAGTGGGTGAGTGAGAAGGGCGTGGCTGCTGGGTGGATTGCCTAGAAAGACGTTCTGAAATTGCACACTATGGTTAAATTTTTATTTGCAACTTTAGGGAAGAAAAATGTTGCTCATTGAAAATCTTCTCACTCTATACATTTTGCATTGTTTTATCCAACCAATATCCAGGGTGTGCATCTACGGAGTCATCCGGAATGCTTGGTTTCGTAATGAAAGCCAAGTGTGAAAAGGATACGCTATAGTTTGTTTGAAACCACCACGCTTTCTTTCAGCTTACTGAACACCCCCCGCCCCACCTCTTCAACCACCCGCGCAACAAACCCATGAGGAAATAGCAGAGGAAGCATGCCAGAGACCAGTTTCCTTGCATTTTATACTGGAACATATGAGTAACACCATTCCTCGGGCCTGTGCTGTCAGTCAACACTGCGAGAATACGCAGTTGCGCTGGCAGAGAATTGCGATAAGCATCTCAACACTGTCAAGGCTCCAAACTGTCATGCGGCATGCTCTTCTTCCAGTTCTTCCTACTAACGACGCTGGTTGTCACATGCCATGGAAGAAGCTTTGGTATGAAGGGTCCAAAAGTTGAAGGTCCAGATGTTGATGTCAGCCTTCCTAAAGGGGATATTGACATCAAAGCCCCGGAAGTTGACATTAAAGGAGTCGACATTGATGTGGAGGGTCCGAGTGGAAAGATCAAAGGACCAAAATTCAAGATGCCAAGTTTATCCGGGCCCAAAATCTCCATGCCGGATATGGATTTCAATCTGAAAGGCCCCAAAGTTGAAGGTGATGTGGATATTCCAAAGATTGAAGGAAAAGTGAAAGCACCGGGAGTCGACTTTGAGGGACCAAAAGTTGACATTGAAGGTCCAAAAGGTGGATTTGAAATGCCCAAAATTAAAATGCCAACATTTGGCTTTAAAGGTCCAAAGGTGGAGGGTCCAGATGTTGACATAAACCTTCCCAAAGCTGATTTCAATGTCAAAGGACCTGAAGTTGATATTAGTGGACCAGAAATCGAAGGCCCTGATGCCAAGCTCAAAGGACCCAAGTTTAAACTGCCATCACTGTCAGGACCCAGTCTACCAGACTTTGACATTAATTTGAAAGGGCCCAAACTCAAGGGAGATGTTGATGTGTCCGTTCCAAAGATTGAGGGAGACATAAAGGCACCCAAGGTGGACATTGAGGGACCAGATATTGACATTGAGGGCCACAAGGGAGGACTTAAAATGCCCAAATTCAAAATGCCATCCTTTGGTATGAAGGGCCCAAAAGTTGAAGGTCCAGATGTTGATGTCAGCCTTCCTAAAGGGGATATTGACATCAAAGCCCCGGAAGTTGACATTAAAGGAGCAGACTTCGATATCGAGGGTCCGAGTGGAAAGATCAAAGGACCAAAATTCAAGATGCCAGGTATTTCCGGGCCCAAAATCTCCATGCCTGATGTGGATTTCAATCTGAAAGGCCCCAAAGTTGAAGGTGAGGTGGATGTTCCAAAGATTGAAGGAAGAGTGAAAGCACCGGGAGTTGATATTAGTGGACCAGACCTTGAAGATCCTGATGTAAAATTGAAAGGGCCAAAGTTCAACCTTCCATCACTTTCAGGACCCAGTCTACCAGACTTCGACATTAATTTGAAAGGCCCCAAAGTTAAGGGAGATGTCTCAGCTCCAAAGGTTGAGGGAGACATCAAAGGCCCCAAGATGGATATCCAAGGTCCAGAGATTGACATTCAAGGACCCAAAAGTGCACTTAATATGCCCAGTATTAAAATGCCATCTTTTGGTTTGAAAGGTCCAAAGGTTGAGGGTCCAGATGCTGACATACACCTTCCCAAGGCCGATATCAATGTAAAAACACCGAAAGTTGATATTACAGTGCCAGAAGTTGAATGTTCCTATGCAAAACCAAAAGGACCCAAAATGAAACTTCCATCATTGTCTGGACCTAAGTTGCAGGGCCCCGACATTAACATTAACATTCCCAAACCCAACAATGAATTTAAAACATCCGATATTGGAATTGACCTAAAAGGGCCTAAAGTTAAAGGTGAAGTGGATGCATCGGTGCCCATGTTTGAAAGTGACATAAAAGGTCCAAATGCTAACATCTCTAATGATGATGAAAAGACTGCTGTTACCTTTCCTAAGTTTAAAGGTCCTAAGTTTGCAATGAAAACCCCAGTTCTCGAAGAGTCTAAATCCAATATCAAGATGCCCAGTACAGCACCAAAAAGTCTCAAAACAGAAGTTAGTTTCCCAGATACTGACGCAAGTGTTGATGCCCCTGATATTGACATCAATGTAAAAGGGAAAAAAGGAAAATTTAAACTTCCAAAAGTTAAAGGAAAGGCAAAGAAACCTGATGTTGACATAGAAACACCAGCAACAGAAATCAATGCAGACATAACAAACAGTTATGCTAAAGGAACAAAAACAAAGAAGTCTCGGTTTGGAAAGCTTCATTTTCCTGATGTAGAATTAGATATAAAATCACCAAAACTAAAAGGAGATGGATCTTTATCTGCCATTGATGGCTCTGGCAGTCATAGTGCAAATGTTAACTTGGAAGGGTCGAACATGAAAGTAAAATCTTCTAATATTAAAATGCAAAGCGGGACTGATTCAGAAATAAACGCAAGTGCTTCAGGAGGAGGTGCAAGTGGTGGCCTTCAGTACCCAGAGGGTAAAGTCACATTTACCAAAATCACAATGCCAAAGTTTGGCATTGTGTTACCACAGGTGGAAACCAAAGAAAGTGGAGGAAATATTGAATCAGAACCTGCAGCTAGTGTAGACATCAAGACAGAATCTCCATCTATTGGTTGCCAAGTCAGTTCTCAAAATATTGAGGTTCCCAGTCCAGAGCTGAGACAAGAAGGCAAAGTTAAGGTAAAGATGCCAAAAATTTTTGGCAAATCAAAAGCGAAGGGCAGTAGTGTAGGTGACCTTCACGGATCAGAGGGAGAATTAAGTAGCAGTGGAAAAGCAGGTAAGACCTCTAAAGAGCTAAGTGTACATTCTGGGGAAATGATGGGTGGAAAAATAGAATTAGAGGGTGATCCTGGACTGGGTTTGTCAACTAAAGGCAAATCGGCCTCACTTGATCTTTTTAAGAAATCAAGACATCGATCTTCTTCTTTCAGTGATGAGGGGGGAGTTAGTTCTCCTTCAGCTCAATTAGAGGCTGAAGGTGGTGACATTTCTTTAGATCTCGGAAGCAAGGTCAAGGGAAAGAAAGGCAAGCTTAAGTTTGGTACTTTTGGAGGTTTTGGTTCAAAGTCAAAGGGCTCATATGAAGTGACACTGGGAGATGACAGTGAAGCACGAATGGAGGGAAGTGCAGGTGTTTCGCTACCTGCTAAAAAATCAAGACTGTCTTCATCCTCTAGCAGTGATAGTGGTTCAAGAGGTGGTTTCAGGTTCCCCAAAGTTGAGCTATCAGTTTCACCCACAAAGTGATAAAGAGACAAATTAAAACCTCAATTGCAACCAAATGTTTTCTCCTAATATTGAAAATTGCTCTTTGTTTCTTTAAAACCTAAGGAGACATGCACAATCATCTCAGTGTGGTTAATTATGAATATCTTTTAGTAATCAAACAGAAGTGCATGAGATTGTTTAAAATCCCTTCAAACTGTAAATAAGATTAATTTGTAATGATAAATATTGTTTTTTGTATATAGTCCAGATTTAATAAATATATGCCATCTCACATCAATAGTTTGTTACAGGGTTTTCTCACTGTGTTCTTTTTCATTCTATTAAATAAATGTTAATGAATGGTTGTGGTATATTTGTGTCCAGGGGTCTATTGCACAGAACCAATATGTTTTTTTTAAAGATTAAAATGTTGTTTATTCACTCAAATACAGTTACCTTTTTAAGTAGGGAGTGATTTTATTTTCAAACTTTAATAATATATAATCAGTAAGTAAAGATGCCTTTTTATAACACATTGTAAAGAGTGATAATGTATATACCAATACTGCAACTGTTTTTACATTTTCAAGTGCTGTCAGTAGTATTCTGTTCATTTTAAACAAAATGTATCTGCTTAAATTTGCCGTTTACCACAAATATTCATTTGGTTCAGTTATTTTAAACAGGATCTCTTTCCTAATCATGTGTTATTGTCACTCATTAATGGTCTGTTTAATGATTTTATTTCATTCTGTCACTCTCTCTCTTTGTATACACACCATATGCTTGCATTAAGTGTCACAAATAGTACCCCCTTGATGTTAATTTGTTTGCATACAAATTCTTTGTTGATAGACAAAGAAATAGTATTGACTAGATGCAAGAGAGATCATTATTTGGGTCTATTTTTTTGTGTGCAATCTGCCAAATAAACTAAATAAAAAAACTTTTTGAATTCAAAGTGTTTTAAAAGAAAATCAGTATATGTTGCTATTTAGGGTAACACAACCATTCACACGTATGGGCAATTTAGAATCGTCAATTAAACTAACCCCACTAACGGCATGTCTTCAGACTATGGGAGGAAGTCGGAGTACCTGGAGTGAACCCACACAAACATGGGGAGAACATGCAAATTCCACACAGAAAGACACACACAGAAAATATATTTCTAATAGTGTTTGTTTAATCATTATAATAAAAAAAAAAATCATAATAAGGGTGAATAAAACATAATGAAACAGAGAGTAGTTTTTACAGATATGTAATATCTTAACTTGCTTATATACTTCATTGGAAAAGCTAACAACTGAAATTCTTATCTTCGTAGGGCTCTGTATCTTTTTTTTATTCACCCAGCCGTTCACAGGTCTGACAGATCACCAGTTTTGTTGGGGTATTAAAGCAGTTCAGCTATTTAAAAAAGGAAATGTCAACTTTTACTCAGTTACATAATTATTATTACAAAATCCTGCTCCTCACATACAAGGTCTTGAATAATCAAGCCCCATCTTATCTGAATGACCTTATAGTACTGTATCACCCCATTAGAGCACTTCGCTCTTGCACTGTTGTTCCCAGAGTATTTAAAAGAAGAATGGGAGGCAGAGCCTTCAGTTTTCAGGCATCACTTCTATGGAACAAGTTTCCAGTTTGGATTTGGGAGACAGACACTATCTCTACTTTTAAGATTAGGCTTAAAACTTTCCTTTTTGCTAAAGCATATAGTTAGGGCTGGATCAGGTGACCCTGAATCCTCTCTTAGGTGTGCTGCAATTGGTGTATGTTGCTGGGGGATTCCCATGATGCATTGAGTATTTCTTCTTTACTCACCTATGGCTCTGGCTCCCTTTTATCATGTCTTCCTTCTCTCACCCCAGCCAGTGGCAGATGGCCACCTCGCCCTGAGCCTGGTTCTGCCAGAGGTTTCTTCGTGTTAAAAGGGAGTTTTTCCTTCCCACCGTCGCCAAAGTGCTTGCTCATAGGAGGTCATATGATTGTTGGGGTTTTTCTCTGTATGCATTATTGTAGGGTCAACCTTACAATATGAAGCATCTTGAGGCGACTGTTGTTGTGATTTGGCACGGAATAAATATAATCGAATTGAATTAGAGAGTTGACAGTAAAATGATTTTTATGTAATTATTCTTATATATTCTACTGATATACTTAAACTATAAGTTACATTAATTTAAAAAACACAATAATTAAAAAAAAACACCTATGTCACTGATAAGTTGCTGAAGTGGAAGCTTAGTTTCATTATTTAGTTAACAGTAGTTTTTTTTTTTTTTAAATAATGGAGGGTTTTGCACCAAATGCCTCCTGTCACATTTAGTTTATATTGGCTTTTGCCAACTCTGTTAATTTAAATTGCATTGTGTCGACCAGCTGAGGGAGAGAGAGTCAACAGATT